CTATTGAAGAAATGTGGCCATGTTGTTAACATCAGGGCCGGCTTTTGCAGGATTTTGTCAACAGCTAGGTTTCCTTCACGGCAGCGGAGGTGGCAACATCTTGGACCGCACCCTTTCACCATGTTTCCGAAATGTCTTTTTTTTTATATATATATTCTGTACTATTTGAATTGCACTTGGCTGAATCGCGACTCTGTTATTGTTATTCTTGTCTTTGTCGGAGACAAATTTAAGTTTTAAAAATTACTATCTTATAAATGAGCTACGAGTATATGAGCTCCCAAATAGATGGCCTAATGGTTGTTGATGGGTTTTTTCTTCGTATATCTTTCTTTTTTTTTTTCAGACGGTTTTTGGTCAGCAAATTAAATAGGAAAATGAAAGTTCTTATCGTATCAGCGTTAAATAAGCCCGAGATAGATTGTAGCAAAATAAACAATGAAATACAGGTCTTTAAATAAACTCTTGAACCACGTGGGAAATAAAAATTGAGTTAAGTTCTTCCTAGGAATTTGAAGAATGTACGATTGTGTATCCCCTGTCATTGGTTTCAGAGAGAAATCACAGAAAGTATGTTACTAGAGACCGATCGAAAGGGATTTTCTGATTTCGGCCGAAAGCGAACTAGGTCGAAAGTTTTAAAAAATGACCTTCGGCCGAAACCGAAACCAAAAGTTAAACGAGACTTTCGGCCAAAAGCGAAATATTAAGATTTTAGATATTTTGAAATTGGTTCATGCATACATTCTGATTACATCGAAAAATTATGGGAGAAAGTATCAATATTTACATTCTTTTTATAAAAATGAGATCATCGTGAATATTAATAAATAAACAGCTAATGTAATTATGTATACTTTGGCTTTTATCATTTTAATTTAAAGGTAAATTAAATTTGTTAAAAATGTATTTTTAGAAGTATGGTAAGAGAGAATTTGGACGTGGATGGGAAATTCATCCAAAGTAGACCCATGAGAGCCCTTTGCTTTTATAATATAATTACAACGCTACATTGTTACATAAGCCATATATATCTACAATAATTACTAGAGCCAATTGTCACATAAATATCAGTTATTAAGGCTATAAACTATCACTACATTTTTTCCCAGTGATCGTACTACTAATGCTTTGTCAATTTTGTGTTTCATAAAAATCTGGCAAGATATCGCCGTATTAATATTTAGCATAGTACCAACACACTAGTCTTTCCGTGCTGGTGACGTAATTATTTCGTTAGGCGACCTACCTCTCTCACCCCTCGCAGGGTCTATTAAAACTGTTGTTCTTGCGGTCTTGACCAAGTATCACAAAAGACATGTAAGTTGGTCGCCAAAATCATAGGTCTGCAGTAGCTACCAGTGGCGTAGCGAGGCAGGTGCGGGGGGTGTGGACCGCACCGGGTGACACCATTATAATGGGTGACACCCGAATGAAAAAATGCATATTTACAGGGCACACATTGCTCTCAAAATCCGAGATTCATAAAAGAATAACCGATCACACATATATTTTTCACAAATGTAACCAATCCAAATGCGTGCTTTATTAAAAGTTCAAGGTTGATGCGTCAGAAATGAGATATCCTATATTTAGGTCAGAAAAACACAGTCATTATTCCACGCCAATGGAAGTGTTCGGTAACGTCCGTAAGTGACACGAGGCTATATTTATATAGATTCTGAGAAATTGGGCGGTGTAGTAGAGCGATTATAAGTATACGAATCAGTAAAAATTAAATACATTATAAATGATTTTTTACCCATTTATAGGGTTAAAAATTATATTATTTTACAACAATGCTCTTTTATTTGACAAAACAATGGATCTACGGGATGATACAAAATGGCGAGAAAATAGGGCGTTTTTTTCACTCTTCAGTCATAAATTGAATTGTTTGTGCTGCAGATTGTTTGCAGTTAATGTTACAGAAACAACATCCAAATGTGTTACTGACTTTGATAAGCGGTGAAAACTGAGCCCAAAATTACAAAATCATGAAGCATCGAAAGAGCGCCTAGGTTGCCTTGAAAAGTGGAAAGCATTAGCAGCAGGACTTGGGATACACAAAACAATTGATGCCGCAAGTATTGCTGTGATGGACAGGGAAAAGAAAATGTGGAGGTATATCCTTCACAGGTTGCTGTATATCACATTGTTTCTTGCAAAGCAAATTCTGGCATTTTGTGGCCAGATTGGAGACGAATCTTCACTAAAACTTTATTGAAATGGCTGATATGCTATCTAAATATGACCCGGTGCTTAATGAGCACCAAATGAGACTAAAGAGGAGTGCATCTACATGAAAAAGCATCCGCATCTTAACTTTCACCATAAACCTAAAATGAATTTATAAATGTCCTTGAAAATCATATGAAGGAGATTCTTATCATGGACATAAAGGCTGCGAGGTATTTTGGAATTATGTTCAAAAGTACACCTGATATATCACAAACTGACCAGATAATAATAATAATAAAGTTCATTTCAAAAACACGCTTCATCCCCAAAGGCTCGAAGCGCGGTACAAAGTCAACAAAAAACATATCTATAATTTACCACATTTAAAACAAACGCAACACTACAAAAACTAATTACAAGCATACAATGGCAAAGTCTTTCTAGCCATTTCAACCATAAGCAACACAGCCATTATGCATTAACTGGAAAATAAGGTTGACAATCATCCCAGAAGGTGTTTGCGAAATAGATGTGTCTTTAAATCGGTTTTAAAGGACTCCAGTGTCTGGTTGTTTCTGAGATCGACAGGAAGGGCATTCCAAATTGTTGGACCAGCAAATGCGAAAGTGCGCTTTCCGTAAGTCTCAAGGCAAACACGTGGTGTCGAGAGTTTGCCACTATCGGATGAGCGGAGCTCTCTAGTGGGTACATAAGGCGTCAGCAGCTCTTTCAGATAGGACGGCGCCAGGTCATGTAAGCAGCGGTAGCACAAAGTTGCGATTTTGTACTCTATGCGAGCACGCACCGGCAGCCAATGCAACTCTCTCAGAAGTGTTTTTGCATGGTCGAATTTGCGTTTGCGGAGAACTATGCGAGCCGCATTATTCTGTGCTATTTGAATTTTATCCAGGAGCGTAGCTGGAAGACCCACCATGAAGTGACAAGATATGTGAACATCCACAAAGGGAAGGTTGAAGTGAGAGAAGTTTTTCTTGGATTTTTCCCGTTAAGAGGGACAAAAGCTGATGACTTCAGGTCTGAAATTCTTACAAATCTGAAACTTGATGGGCTAGACATAATGATGTTCATAGCTCAAGGTTACGATAACGATGCCAACATATCTGGAATCCATGGAGGTGTTCAGGTTATTCTGAAAAGAAATAATAAGGACGCTATTTTAAATGGATGCGTGTACCATACGCGTATTTTGTGTGGTCAACACTCTTTTGCGGAAAGGTTCACGTATGACATTTTTCAGTACTCTTGAAAGAATATTTTCCTTCTTTGCTGCATCCACTCATCAATGAAATATTCTATTTGAACACACTTGAATGTCAGTGAAAAGACAATCAACAAAGCATTGGAGTACTTATCATACTGCTGTTAAGACAGTGAAAGATGAGTTTGATGAATGTGTGGCGGCTATTAAAGCTTTGTGTAATCCTCTTGAAAATTTGGATACAAGAGGTACAGAACAAAGTCTTTTGCATGCTGTCTATGATTTGAAATGCAAATCTTTACTTATTGTGTTTGTGATTTTACGTTTATCTGCTACATTTTACCTTTGGGCTCATCAGCTTGCGGTCTTTGATGAAACATGCTATTGAAAAGAAATATTTAAAATCAGACCACTATGGAATTTCGGTAGTGAGAAGATTAGGGTTTAAGAAGAGAAAGGCAGAAGAAAAATTAATAGCTTTTGGACTCTCTCTTCGAGACGAAAACATTAGGGAGATTCTGGAGTGTATTGATCGCTTTCATTCTGAGCTACAGATCAGATCATCAGCGATCATGGAAGTAGCAGATATGTTTGGGGCTGTTCAACACAAGAGTCTAGTATCAGCAAGTGAAGAGGAGTTATTGGTGTACATTCCAAAAGTAACTTCTTTCTATGATGAGTTATCAGAAGATGAACTTTAAAAGAAATACCATGGCTTAAAAGACATCTAAAGGCAGCTGAAATTGAATTTTCACAAAGTCATTGGCAGGTCAGTAATTAATGTTTTGAAATTCATAGCTGATTGCGACTTCCTAGAATCTCTTCCAATACCCTCGCTAAGTTTTTAATTTTTTTCTTACGTTATGTCAGTCTTTGGCTTCATGTGAGCGGAGCTTTTCAAAACTAAGGCTCATCAAGAAATATTTATGATCCATCATGGGACCGTCAAGGCTTTCTGATATGGCTCTGCTATCTATTTAAAGTGATACATTGAAGGAAATTGATTTTGATCGAATGATTGACAGGTTTGCAGGAAAGAAAAATTATAAATACATTAAATGTAATGTAAAAATAACTATAACTCAACGTTGTTACAGTTTTTAAATACCCTGACCTCATGAACTTCGATTGATGTGTTTTGTTCTTGTTATTGTTATACTGTGGACTTACCTTAACAAGAAAAAAATCGACCATAGAAGTTGGGGGGTGGGGGGGGGGGTGTGTGTGACACCGTGAGTTTACCGCACCGGGTGACACCAACCCTAGCTACGCCACTGCCTACTACATATTTATTATACGAACCCGTGATACATGCACACGACTGTTATTTCGTCAATACCAATGTTTATGAGCGTGATGATGATGATGATGATGGTGATGATGATGGTGATGATGATGGTGATGGTGATCATGATGATGATGATGGTGATGGTGATCATGATGATGATGATGATGATGATGGTGATGATGATGGTGATGATGGTGGTGATGGTGATCATGATGATGCATTTCAAGAAATGAACTAAACAAAAAATAAGTTTCTTATTTCATTTCCTTAATTTTTATTTTATAGAATAAAAAATTAAAACAAAAATAAAAATGGAAATAGTAATATTACCATTCCCTAGGATTATGCAATATTATTAGACTAACCATTGACCATGACAACGTTGATGAGCATTAAATGATAAATAAGATGAATATCACAAATGAATGAATTGAATATTTATTTATTTATTTATTTAGGCATTTTTATATAGCACTTACCTTAAAGCTCTAAGCACTTTACAATTATTAAAAACATGTCAACTAACTAAAATAAAAATACACCTAGGGTTCCAAATGTTATAGTTTTTAAAATTAAAACAAAAATAATAATTTAAATATTACCATTCCATTAGCTTGCCATCCACAAAACTGTTTACATTTGTCTAGGCCTAATTGAAAATTCAATTTTGGATATACAGGACAGTAGGTCATCATGCAGCTGTGAGCAGTTTTCGCAGAGTATTAGTCATGTAACATATTATGACAGCAAGAAATCCAGCAATAATGAATATCTGAATGCTGGCCTAGAGACAGACAGGCAGTCTGACTTCTGGTAGATGACCGAAAACCTCAATCACTTTCTGCCAAAACCAAAATAAAACCAAAAGTTAACGTTTCTGTTTCAGCCGAAACCAAAACTAGGCCAAAAGTGATCAAATGGTAACTTTCCGCGCTGAAACCGAATCCAAAAATTCAGTCTGCCTCTAAAAGTAACTGCTTTATCGCACAACTTACAAAATAACAAACGGGAACGTGTATTGAAAGAATGAGAGATGAAAGCTTTGTAAGAGTAAATAAATGATAATTTTATTAGCTCATGCCATAAATGATAAATGCAGAGTAGCAAACACACAATAACTCAACTTTAAGTCCATATGTGGCAGTGTTTATCTCTGTGGTGCAAGTCAATCTACTATACAGTATAGCTCGATATTATTTACAAGAAGCTAGCTTTGAAAAAAAAAATTCATGTAAAATTAAAATTGTTCCTAACATAAGAACTTTTTTTATTTTAAACAATATTATTTTAAAACATTTATTATTGATACATGCAACTGGTAATGGATATTTCCCCATTCTCATTGCATTGATACAAAACAAAATTACATTGAAATGATTTAAAGTAATTCCATGTGCAATGTCAAGAAATTTTTCATGTGTTCTAACAAAAAAATATGCAATGAAATCAGAAAGACTAAAATTAACATTTTCAAAGCAGAATTCAATCTACTCTCAAACTCATTTCTGAAATGTTTCCTAAGCCTCTGAATTCACTGTTGCTGAAATGTCATCACATTTACACTCACAGCTATCGTGAGAGGGAGGGCCGTGTTAGTATCACAAGCATGAATCCATGCTCTAGTACTGCCACACATTGAAATGTGCTGCAGTAAGGAATAGTCAATGTCAAGCTGTACAACAAAACTATATGGTGGATGACATCAAGCAAGTGGATTCTATGAATTGATTGAAACATGACATAACTACCAGACATCAAGCAAGTGGATTCTATGAATTGATTGAAACATGACAAAGCTACCATAAAAACAAGAATAGAAATGATTTTGATGGAAATTTTCCTTTAAAAAAAAAATAATAACTAATAGAGCAACAGACGGGGATAATGTTCCATGTTATTTTTAGGTTTAAACTTAATCATACTTTATGCTTAGAATCGTTTGTTGATAAATGAATTGAAATATAGACTGATAGCACACTGGCAATGACGGAGCAAATGTTACATTGGCGTGAAATGTTATGTGCCCTAGTAAAACAACCAACAACTCTGGTGATGCACCCAGCTAATCCAACTACTCGACAGAATTGGTAGACAGAATAAGAGTAACAGCTTGAAAATGGAAAAATGAAGTGCAATCAGTATTTTATTTTAACAAATTTACTTCTTTTAAAATTTTATTTCATTGGCAATTTAAGTCAAGTTTAATCAGTGAACAAACTTTGTAGTTCATTCATTACAAACTAAGACATTGGCCTGACTAGAAGGCCTTGTATTTACATCTATTTCACAGGCGTTAGAAATGACATTTGAAACTAATTTAACAACTAATAAGCTTATATTTAATCTAGTAAAGAAGGTTTATTTCTTTAAAAGCACATGTAATCAGGAATATAATGATGTTTTCACCATCAGTACATAATAAAAAAGAAAATAAAACTTTCTTTACTAGTTGGTGTTTTCACACTTGATGTCATCCCATGTGAAACCCTACTGCCTGACCCCTGTTCTCATACCTCAATTCTTGACCCCTGTTATCACACCCTACTTCCCAACCCCTACTGTCTGACTCCGATTCTCACCCCCTGTCTGACCCCTGTTCTCACATCCTACTGTCTGACCCCTGTTCTCACATCCTACTGTCTGACCCCTGTTCTCACATCCTACTGTCTGACCCCTGTTCTCACATCCTACTGTCTGGCTTCTATTCTCACACACTAGTTTGAAACTTAATTAAAGCCACTGAACTAATTAAACAGAACTAATTAAACAGGGATCCAGCCACTCTATTCCTGTACCTACACAGTGAATTATTTCAGATTATGTCATTGCTGAATTCTCACTCATCCTATAAAGGGACTAAAACAACCAAAATGAAAATCTTGTACCAAACAGTACACCTGTTAGAAGGAATCCTAGCACAGTTTACAACTTAACAAGGACACATTACATTGTGACCATTTACAGATGATGTGGATTTATCCTAACTTAAAAATGAACCCTGTTTGGGTTAGTTTTTTTAAATTCCTCCAATCTGTTTCCTTTTGTGTAAACCATTCCATTATTTCTATAAAATTACAAACTCATCAAATGCAAAACTGTGAGTGACAGTCCTACTTGTTAAGCTTCTCAGCCACAACACATTGAATCTTGAGCACTTTGTACTACATGACTACCAATAGGATGGAACAGTGGGAGAGTGAAATGGTCTGTGCATCTTTGTCCTGGCCACATTTCAGTCGAGTGAACAAGGAGGATGTGATAGAACAGTGTCAGCAAAACTGGAAGATTGGAAAATGTGGTTGAAAAAACAAATTGAATTAGTTCTTGACTATTTTTAAAAAAGCATGTTATGACACAGAGGGAGTCCCCTAGGTGGCTGCGGAGGTTCTGACAGCACAGGATGACACTCATCCTTAGATAGGCCAAGCTTTTATTCTAAAAGAAACATCATCAACTGTTTATTGAATAATACTTTATTATTTTAAGGATGAACAAACACATATATAAACTCATCTTTAAGTAAACTGACCAATTTTTTCTGGGGGTAGATATAAACAAAAAGAGTTAAAAAAGCAGAATCCTCAATTACCTTCCATCTGTTTCCACATTCATTACAGTAAACAAATGTTGTCATAGGCTCATCAGCACTTCTAGTCTGGACCTGTTGATGTCAATAAAACAACAAAATTATTGGTGGTCAGAAAGTTTCCAGCTCCAAAGCATGAGCCACAGGAAAGAACGTTTTTAGTTAAACTAACCTCAGCAATAGCTTATAGATTAATAAGACACACACAAAATGACTCGTACAAGTATATGTTATTCTAATTATTAAAGATAATTCCTCTACACTTGTTTGTAGCAATATTAAATACAATGTGTACGATCTCATGATCACCATTAAAATTACTGTCTTCTTCCACCTTTAAATATCTTAATTTCATATTAGGTTACTTTTTTAACATTCTTATCATCCAAAAATTTTCAATACAAGAAAGTAACAGCAATAAAACCCAAGTTTTTGTGATTTCTCTTCTTTCGATTTTACTGGTAGCTGTATCTTTTTTTTTTTTTTTTTTTTTTTTTTTTTCTTTTTTTTTTTTTTTTTTTTTTTTTTTTTTTTTTTTTTTTTTTTTTTTTTTTTTTTTTTTTATAGTCCATTTCATCAGTTTTCATAAGGTACTACAATGTGTTGCAGCAATATAGTTCATTTCATCCAACATCAACTAGCTATTGGGGAGGGGGGTGTCACAGACATGTGGTGTCACCAGTTTGAGCCTCAAATTAGTGTAGGGCTCAAATCTTAATAGTACAACCCAGTCCACATTTATTTAAAATAAAAACACACAAAAGACTAACACTGAAAAACTGTAAGAAATCTAACTGTAATGTTAACCCACAAATTGTCGTAATGGCGGATCATCTGCCTAAAAGTTTGTTTTTTTGTAAAAACTAACTTGTAGAACTCAGATATTGCCTAAGCAAAAAAAAAATTAAATTTTTTAAATTATTTTATTATGGAAGTGATTTTGAAGATTGTTTTATTGATATGATGCATGGTATTTATAATTAAGTGGTGGAGCTAGTACTAGTACACTAGGAGCACAGTTCAAATTCTAATAGTTGAAGTAGTGGAAAATAGGGTACTAATCAATTTAAAAGGAATTATAAATGAAATTTGTAGGTCACCAGTTAATTTTTCCTTCTTTTTTTTTAAATTTATGTCAATCCAAATAACTTTATATTTTCTAGACTGAAATAATAATGTTTTACGTGTCTGAAAAACTTATTTAGATGATAAAAAAGGAACTAATAGTTGGTGTGGGTGCAAGGTGAAGAAAGATACTGTAGCACAAGTGAAAAGTTCAAGGTCATATTCACATAGCTCACAGAATTGCAACATTCATACCATAAGATTCCTCATCCAATTTATTCTCTTTATATCACTACTTAAATGGGTCTCTGGATTCATTTTCTATTAGTGTAGGGTATTCTGGTGATACAAATTACTAAAAACTATTTGACACCACAGCACATTTACATTTGACAGTTTGTCTGTTTATAATGTTAAACATAATCACCAAACCCTTTGTAAAAAAAACTTGTTAGCTCACCTGATTGTATGTACAATTATTTTTACGACATTTGCCACACTTGAAGAGATCAGTTGTTGTTCCTCCAGTCTTGGCCATTTGGTGGTCATTAATAGCTTCCTTTGTTAACTTTTCACGTAGCTGTTTCATTTCTTTACTAGCCATTTCCTGAAGAAAACAAAAATAAATTCATAAGAAATTTTTTAAAATTTATATTACCAAATTCATTTTAAGAGAATTTATTTTTCAAAATACTGAAATTTGAGCTGATTCACATTTTGTATTAATAATAGTCACATGTTCCTTTTTTTAAATTAATTGGCAAATAAAGAATTATGCAAAAAATTGAATAATTATCACTAACATATTTTTATTCGTTTGATATAGCTCAAATGTACAGCACACTTACTTCTGCAGTCAAAGCTGCAATTTTCTGGGCTGAGATGAGACCAATAAGAACATTCTGTCGAAGTTGCGGGTTTCTGGAGTCTTTTAAGTTGGCAACTCGGCTCCTCACTCGATTTTTGTACTTCATCTCTGTATTACCGAACTCCTCAAAAATGGCTGACAAAAAAAGGTGAACTAAGTAAGTTGGTATACCTAAATTATTTATCAAATGTATTTGAACTTTCTTTTAAATAAGAATTTAAACAGCTGCTAAAATATTTTGACTGCTAATTTATATAATTTATACACTCCCCTTAATGGAACAATGCAAAATTCAATGGATTAAATAAATTAACTTTTAATTACAGAAATTATAAAACCTGTCCAAGGGAAACAGCATTTTTAAACATTTTTAGCAACCGCTTTAAAACTAAAATGCTTTTCAACTCTAAACAAATTATTTTTGGATTAAAATGTAAGCATGCGGTGAATTAGGGTGAACAGCAAGTTGCTTACAAATATTTATGTGGCTGATAAGTTATATATCTCTAACTTTCATAACAAATAAATAAAAAAGTTAAATTGTGAATCAGCTCACCATCTTCAATAGAGGCAGCCAGCTCATCTGGATCATGAGCTCCTTCAGGGATTTCTAGTAAAAATGATAATTAAAATCTGTCACAGAATACCAATTGGGACAAATATTAATTTCTTTTCAGTAGTGACTATACCCATTCATATGAACAGGAAAAAAAATAGAAAAGTTTTCAAATATCAGAAAGTGTTTCAGCGCTAGAAAAAAAAAAATTTGACCAACAATTATAAAATATGATACATACTCATGGATAAGTCAAGGGTAAAACTTGGGGCTATGTGAGTTTTATAATTTTGTCAGATTTTACCAAGCAGCAATCACTGCACTGTATACTAAACTATTGGTATATGTCATTAGGCCTACACTCTCTCGTGGTCGGTTATATCAAGTGAATTCCCCGCAATTTATATCAGTGTCCTCTCTCCTTCCAATGATAAAGGCTGATGGATTCAGCCGTTAGCTTGGTACTGGATTTCAGTCAAGCATCAACAGCTGTTATTGTGTGTTTACCCAGTATCTGGATCAACATAGTGCTACTTTTTTTTTTTATTGCCCCACATTAAATGTAAAAAATTATATGGAAACAACCACTGACCTATGGATAAGCCAACGTTACATTTTACGATGACGTTTATGACTAAATAATGTATGATTTATACACTAGTCAATAGTATATACAGTTTCTAAATTTTGGCACACAAAGGAAACTCTTTTATTACATCTTTTGATGTTAACAAATCTCAAAATGTTTCCCTTAAATATTTTAAGTTAATTTGAGGTGGAAGAAAACATAATGGTTGGTTTTCAAAGTTATATATATTACCAAACTTTAATTTTATATAAAAATATTGTTTATTTAAGGAACATTATTATTGTACAAATGCAATAATACTTACCACTCACTCGAAGAGCAGCTGACAAAAGCTCTCTACATTTAATTCTCACAGCATCTGTGGTGTTATGAGTTTTACTTTGGCCTGAGCTGCCATCTTTATCAGCATCCGATTTCCCCTCATCAGTACCATCATTGGAGGTTTCATCCATTCGTTGACTGCTTGCATCTCCTGAGGATCTGGAACTGGAGCGACTAAGGCCACCAGGACTGTCTTTAATTTTATAGAAAAATAGACAGAAAGTCATTAAGATAAACTTCTTCCGATTTTGTAACTATTATATTACTGTTTATTACAAGCAATTATTTTAATTACTCATTATGGAACAAAGTGTCAAATCTGACATTAAATACATTTACTATACAGTTGTATCCAACATCATTTGCAATAGGACTTTCCATGAACAAACAGTTAAAGAGGGAAATAGAACAAAAAAAATTACAGCTAAAAAAAAAATGAATTTTATATATTTACCAGCTGGTAGTAATTTTTTCCAATTTTTAATCAAAGTCTTGGCCAATGTCACAACTTCATCATTACTGCTAGCCTTTCGTAGATTATTCACTGTCATACCAATCCTGGTTTTCTTCAAAGGAAAATGTGTGAAATTATTTAATAAATTTCAGCATAATTCAATAGATTCAATTCAAAGGAAGTTGTAGCTTATTTTGCTATAAAAGTATTTCTGTCTAAAATTTATTTTAAAAAAAGCAGTTATTTCATTATTCTTTAGGAAAATATTATTAATGAAATTAAGTAGAAACTATATCAAACTTGGATACACAATGTTGATAAAAATTATGATAATCAAAACACAACATTAAGGCAGATAATGTTAGAAATTCATTTTAATGTTAAAAATAGCACTACTGTTGAAGAACTAAATACTGACCTGTAGGACTTCAAGGGTCATTTTAGTATCCTGCAATGCTTTTAACAGATCCAGTGCTGAAGCATGATCCTGTAGGATTTTAAAAAAAATTAATATTTAATTCCAAACAAAATAATTTTTCTACACCAATTTTTTTTACTATCTCATTGTGACACTATGTCATAAATGACAAGGCAGGAACGAGAGAATGAAATAGCTAGCTAGAGGTAACTTTAAAAGGGTGAGGGTAGAGTTGACATGGACAGTCTTGATAGTTTTATATTAATAAAGTAAAAATATGATAATCTTGGAAGTTGAAATTGGTACCAAGTACTGTGGAAGACATATAATAAGATACCTAAATTAAGTTTTTATGTGGCGAGCAAGTGATTGTAAAGATGTCTATGCACACTCCTTTAGGGTCTAGTTTGTATCTTCATGGTGGATAAATTTGATTGAGGAAAATTTTCAAGTGTTCAATTTAAGGTGGGAATTTTTATTAAGAACAAAGAGTTAAAGTTTGTCATGAGTACAGACATGTGAGCTGCAGCTTGTAGCTGCAGGCATAAGGAGTAGAGCTGCAGAAGCAAAGACAAGACAAATGTACAGTCCTTTTCAGGGCCAATGTTTAAGATGAGTTTCAATTAACTAATAGGATATGTAATAAATAAATATTTTTATCCTTTGTTCACTGTGGATTATTTTGGATTATTTACATATTTACACTCTCTGCTCATATAATCACTTTAATTTACCTCACACCCTTTAGGAACCTGGTTTAAATTGTTGTAATTTTTTAGCCTTTGTGAAATTGTGAGTAGATGACAGAGTATTTTTGTCAGGATACAAGATCGTTGCTCAGTAATGTAGAATGTGAGGTCATTCTCAATGCTTAAAAATATCATTGCAACAAAATTTGTAAACCCTTTTATTTTATTAAAATTTGAAAATTAACTAATGAAAAATTCAAATTATTGAAATAAATAATTAGCAGCTTATGCATATCATAGTAAGTGAAATAAAATGTCATTAGAATTAGGGCTTTAATTATTTTCTTATATTGTTAAAATTCATTGCACCCACTAAGGCCAGCCCAAAGTAAATGTTGTGAATTATCTAGTCCTACTCTCATACAAATAACAAGGCTGACACTACATTTACAGCAGGAGTAAACCAACATGTCAAAGGCTGCATTAAAAAAATTTGTTAACAGTGTCAATTCTAAAGAAAGTTATGATTTTTTCCAGATAATTTTGGGATAACTCTGTTAATTGAGACATATAAGAGAATATAGAAGTGACTACAATAAAATGTGGGCAGATAATTTTCGAGAAAGCTGTCACTCCTTGGTATCAATGGAGGAAATGTAGTCATCATGTGCAATAGGCCACTCTTTTGAAACTTTAAAAAAATTGTTGGGGTAGGGTGGTGGGAAAATTTATCTGCCCATTCTCGTAGATAATTGGATGCTTTTAACAGGCCTGGTTACACTGGAACTCCCAATATAGTACAATATAGTCTCAGAATCTTATCAACTATGAAATGGCCTTTGATAGCCTGGACAGACAAACCTTGTGAAAACTTCTCCAGCATTATGAGTTGCCAGAAAAGCTAATCAGGATCATTCAGAGTTCTTTTGAAGAAATGAAATGCAGGGTGGTACAAGACGGTAGACTTACAGATGCTTTTTATGTGGAATCAGGAGTCAGACCAGGATGTTTCTTATCCCCACTTTCTATTCATCTTTGCCATTGACTGGATAATGAAAAAAATCAGACAAAAAGAGGAACAGGATATGGTGGACACCCTGGGATTACCTAGACTTTGCAGATGACATTGCACTTCTGTCACACAACCAGCAACAAATGAAGGAAAAGGCAAAAGACATAACCACCATTTCAGCACAGCTCGGACTCAATGTAAACAAAAGCAAGAAAAAATCACGAAGGTAAACTTAGCCAACCAAGAGCATATCTCTCTGGCAGGAAATGCACTGGAAGAAATGGAGGCCTTCACATAGGCAGCACCATTGACATAAACAGATATCAGGGTTAGACTCAGACAGGCTAGGTCAGCATTTGTGCTATAAAATAAAATATGGGAGTCAAAGAAGCTGACTCTGCAAACCAAAGTCTGAGTTTTCAACACAAATGTCAAAACAGTCATACTCTAATGGAGCTGAAACTTTGAGAACAACAGCGAGCATCACGCAGAAAGTACAGACCTTCATAAACACTTGCGATTATCTGTAAATATTGGGTTAATGGTATGGCTTTTGACAAGAGTTGTCTCAACCTGAGTGCAGTGATGTCCCTTTGGGAATCCCAACACTCAACACAGAATAAACCAATTTTTGGACCTGAACAACATGTGTGATAACATTCCCGTTCTTCACTGAGAATTACTCGCGTCAACAAAATATGGTTAATATGAAGTAAAGTAAAATAAAAAATTTCATTCATTTTTATCAATATTCAACTCATAAGTTTTAAAAGAAATACATCCTAGCTGATACCCCATGATGAACATCAACCCCCCAAAACCCCACTTATAATTCAAAAATAAGAAACAAAATAATCATCCCAGAACCCCATCCCCAAAACATACAAAATGAGAAAACTAATACTTGCATCAAGTAAACACAATGATAAAAATCAAATCTTTTGAATACAGACCTTTAGAACGAAGTTGACCAGAGGGAGCCCCCATGATTTATATACCATGGAACACATTGAAGGACTTACCACAAACCCAAAATCAGCCATGGTTATCATGAAAATACTGACTGGTGGAGAATTTACTAGACATTAAATAGTAGTCTTCGCTTAATTCGACTTGATAAATTTTTCCAAAAACACTCATTATAAAAATTTGAAAACACAGTAAAGTTCAGCATCCTCTTCTCTTTGAAATGATATATAATAAACAAAACCATGTAATGACAAAAATTTTGAATATAGTCCAATTGCCACAAATGATATTAAAGGGCTAGCTAGAAGCTTTGCAAAACACCAATTTCATCTTTCTATCTTTTATAGAAATAAAGTTATGATTTTTTTTTTTTTTTGGTGAATTTTTTAACCCCACTTTTTTTTATTTGTATTTAACGGGGAAAAAAAATAGTTCCCAACTTTACACATTTCTGCCTTTTTTTTGTCCACAACTTTTTTATTTTAAAAATTAAAAGATAATGCCAACAAATTTTCAGGAGACATTCTCAATGCAATATACAACACAATGAACAACAAAACATTAAGACTTTGTATTTTGGATAATTTTATTTGAGGGATTTTAGAAAAAGCATCAACAGAAAAGTTGGAAAAATCATGATTTTTATAGGAAAAAACAAAAAATAACAAGTTTTTATTAGGTTTTATTGATTTCTAAAAATATTGTAAAACGGTCTCCCATTTATTAAATGATTAGTCTTCTACAGATTATTAAAGATCAACTATAATGAAAATATCTTTAAATTAAATTGGTTACAAGAACCATTTTCGAGAACCTAATTTTTTTTTTTGTGTTGAGGACTACAAACAATTTTATTTTCTTACACATTCCAGTTCGAAAGGCATAACTTTTGTTCGTTATTGCTATTATTAAATTGAAGTTAAGTTATTAAACTTTGTACATGAATGAAGCAGTATTGAGCTAAACCACTATGTGTTTGAATTTTACATTAAAAAATAATAAGCATTTACGTACATACTGATGTAAAAAAAAATTATTTCGTTACCGGTCACAAAGTTCTAAATGCTGCAAATATGGTATCCCTATGTTTGGAAAAATATAAGCTCTAAAACACAGATAATTTAAATACTATTATTATAAAACTGTGACGTAAAACGCAAAAAAATGACACCCTTTCTCTGCAGTATAATATTATATTACCACACAATTTTTTGCTTTACTTTCGGATATATTTCTGTGCCCCCAAACAATGGAATTCTCTTCCACTACACATTCACAGGCCTGCATAATTTGTTGAAGTACATATGTGCATAATTTGTTGAAGTACATGTGTGCAAAATTTCATTGGGATAGCTCATGAAACATTTTCACAATTCTCCTCAACGTTGACCTCATTATGCAAAGGTAGCATAGGCCATTTCAGATTAGTGACACGCCCCCTTTTAAATGGCGGGAAAACGCTGATACTTAGCTTAGGAAATATTCATCATTACCTCTATATAAATCAAAATATTTGATAGCTTGTGTTTCAGAATGCAGTTTGAAGACATTTAAACTAGAATGTTTAAATTTGAGCTTTAAAAACCAGGTAGAGTCCATATTATTAACGATCAGAATTAACCGTGTGCAAAAAGTCATGGGAAACCATTCACAGCCATTTGCATAATGCTATGCCGTAGTACTACCTCGAGTTTCATGGTCAGGGAAAGCTTTAGTCTTTAGTTAATTAGTCATGTGTCAAAGTGAAAAGTTCAAAATAAGTAGACCCCAAACAATATTTTAGGGGGTGCGTTGCCTTATATAGACTATATAGCATATACTGGTATAATGGACGCTGTAGATTTGGTAAACAGAAAAGCCATATATATTTATAAATTATTTTAAATTTATTGACATACATAGTGCATAGTTAGATAAACTATCATTTATATATAATTGTATAACGTTTTTAAAATTATTTATTAATACAGCATTAGTTCTGAAAATAAAAGTCGCATAAAATTATCATTAAAACGAGAGTTATATAGCTCGTGGCGCGAACAGCGGAATCGGGTCACAGAATGTGGAGATGCAGTCCATACAAACGAAGTTGTACTTTAAAAATGCATAATTTTAAAACTACAACAGCTAAAAATATGATTCTGTAAAAAAAAAAAAATTAGCTCTATTCAACTATGCCATTGGTTTATTTTTAGGTGTACCTAGTGAAATTTTTTACTTTGGCCTGCGTATACCACGGCGGTGTACCTAGCTAAATCATTGTCTGTGGCCTGCGTACACCGCAGCGATTTAAAGTAGCAAAACCATGGTCTTTGCGAGTCTTAAACTTTTTGGCCTAACTGGTACTTGTAGATTTAATGTTATACTCTTGTTAAAACTGGAAACTATTTATTTAAAATCGTTGAGTACCTTGGGAGGAAGCTTTTGAGTAAGTTCCACGCTTATAACTTATGTGGCTAAGTATTTGTAGAGCATTTCTTACTTATTGGAAGGGAGGGGGCTGGGGGTGTAATGTTAAACCATGATTTATTTTTATAAAGTTAACCACTTTATTTCCCCCCATGTATTGAAATACAATTATATTTATTAATTATTAAAGTTTTATCCTATGATTGTGAATCTTAATAGGCATAAAAAGGGTAGCTAATTTGAAATTATTCTCCCCACCAACCCCCCCCCCCCTCCATTGTTTTTTTTGGGGGGGTGGTGGCAGGCATGATAATAATAACATTGTATGTGATCACTCGGAGCGTGGTGTAAAAATGAATGGGAAGCCAGTGTATCCATTTTGTTAGCACCAAGATATAATTACGCCACAAATAGGCTACATTACGGGAAGAGAATCACATACATTGATCATGAAGTCGTTAAAGTTGTCCAAGGCATTGTCATTGTGATATCAAGCGATTGTCAACACACAACAACAGTATGATGATCAATACGAAACACTGCAGTGATTGTTAAAAGTCTTTTAACAATAATTAAATATCATTAAATTAGTTTTACATTGGTGTAAAAATGAATGGGAAGCCAGTGTATCCATTTTGTTAGCACCAAGATATAATTACGCCACAAATACATTACGGGAAGAGAATCACATTCATTGATCATGAAGTCGTGAAGTTAAAGTTGTCCAAGGCATTGTCATTGTTTTATCAAGCGATTGTCAACACACAACAACAGTATGATGATCAATACGAAACACTGCAGTAATTGTTAAAAGTCTTTTAGCAATAATTAAATATCATTGAATTAGTTTTAAAATAGCATTACACATAAGTAAAAAATGCCGGCGGACATCAGCACCCCCTCTCCGGGTTGGGGGGATGCAAAAGGTAAGCTTTTTGTGCGGATGTCCTTTGTGGACAACCCCTATCCAGAGCCATGATTTGTGTAGGCCCCCCATTTTCATTGAACCTCTGCCCATAAATCACCCCCCTCCCCCGGCAAGGATCGATTTCTTTGCAAAAAACCACAAATTAATAAAACTTTGAAATAGCGCAAATCCTGTCCAAGCGCATTGTGCAATGGTTTCTGTGAGAAAACGTTGTGTTTTACCTGAGAATAGCACATCCCATGCCATTCTGGAAACACGACCATGCACATTAATATTCACATGATATTCTTGATAAAATAAATGTTCGTAAAGTAAAATGTAAATATCAACTACAAGAAGAATGTTGAAATACAATACAATATCACTTAGTATTCAAAATTGTTCTCTTATACTTATACATGTTACATACACTATACATGCGCTTTCAGAAACTTTCAGTTTGTTTTCTAATGTCATACTCATATTACTAGTATTACCTGTATTTTCAAAGTCAAAGGCCAGCACAACTTGTTGTTACACTTAATAATCAGTTAATAATCTGAATATAGCATATATTTAATTTAAATTGTTTAAATTGCCATAAAATATTAAAAAGTTTCTCAGGAAACTACTGTTGCAAATGAACATGATAATTTAAATATAAAATATTTTTAATTAAAATGGGAAGAAAAAAAACTGGATCCCCTACTGGGAATTGAGCTCAAAATATAATATCGCCATGGGTCCACTCTACCACTTGACCAGACAAGATCTTATCTAACGGGCTTTTCTTAAAGGCAGTGTCTACACGTCCGGCGCGCCGGACGTCTATCTCCCGCACTATGTGTCCGGCGACCAAGTCACATGACCGCCGTAACAAAGTGGCGAGAGATATCGTGTCGGTCAGCCTTGTCACGTGACTGCGAATAATTCAAAACTATTGTTAATTTTAAAATCTATTTCTCTACCAAGTAATGTACTGAGTATCTTGAATGCAAATAATAGAAAAAGAAACTTAAGTGAAAGTGGCTTGTAAACATTTTTGTTTAGTTTGTTATTTTTTGTGTACCAGTAATCCATAAAATAAATTAGGGGCCAGTGTGGCAACCAATAAAAGTTAAAGATTTCATTTTAAATTATTTCAATTGCTACAAAATATTTAAAAACTTCTCATGAAACTACTGTTGCAGAGGAACATGATAATATAAATATATACAAAATATTTTAATTAAAATGGGAAGAAAAAAAACGACCCTATCCCCGGTATAGATCCTCAAACATTCCTATCGTCATGCAACCACTCTACCACAAGACCAGACAAGATGTACTAAATCGTACTTCGTTTGGAATTATAAAAACTACTAGCCGTCCGGCCATGTCCGGCGGTCACGTGACAAGTCGCCGGACGTGTATCTTGCGCACTACACGTCCGGCGCGCCGGACGTGTAGACACTTCGTTTCTTAAAACCAGGCCAATGGTAAATTTTTGCCGCGGTGTACCCAGGCCAAAGCCCACGATTTCGCTAGGTACACCGCCGCAGTTTACGCAGGCCAAAGTCGATGGTTTTTCTAGGTACACCGCCGCGGTGTACGCATCCACTTCGTTTACAAAATGTTTAAATTTTTTACCAAAGTACCTAGTCAGGAGCCTGGATAATATTAGTATTAGCATTGAAAAGCTAGTAAAATTTAAATTTATACTAATTAAATTCAGAAGTAGACTTAGGCGCCACTGAACAAGTTTTAAGCAACGTACTAATTTTGCTTAGTAGTTAGTACAGTCATAGTCTGTCTAAGTAGCATAAGTGTTAAGTGTAAGCTTAGGCTTAGGACTTGGGCTTAGGCCTAGGCCTAGCCTCTTAACTCTTAAGTAAAATACTAAATAGCAGGCAAAAGACATCTAATGCAAATTTTTGAATGAACTCACTGTCGTATCACTTGAAATGAGCCTTTCTAACTTTTTACCAATCTTAAGAACTTCATCTTCAGCACCCATTGTACCAGTTTGTTTTATTTTTTAACAGTGTTTTGAGTAAATGTAATGTTGATAGTACACAAAAGCGTTACGGCGCACTGGAAAGGAAACCGGATGTCCATTTGAACACATAATTATTCTAGGGTTGGATGGAAATATTATTTTTTCATTTTAAAAAAATAATGAACTTTTAACCATATGTGAATAAAAATAAAGATGGCCATGTAAATAATTATTTTTAGGTTTTAAATTATAATTAAGTTACATTAAGGTACATATTTTGCTATTAAATTAATTGAAAAATCCAAGTTATTATTTTCAATTATCTAAAACTGTCTTATTTGTGAAAGAGTTCTACACATTAAATTTAAATGAATATTATTTATTGCATTGCAAGGCCAAAATCAAAATCAAAGGCCGCAAAGGTCTCTCTTATTACTAAGATATAAAAATAATAAGCTCCGTTTGGATTGAACTGTATGGACCATGGATCTCTCTTCCGTGTTTGAGTGAGCTGGTGTTTTTTTTTTCTTTCTAATTACACCCTATATCATGGCTATTCCGAACTATTCGTTGTACTGTACTGTAAAGTAATAATTGGACTTTTGGTAAGCTCCTCCTAAGCCTAAACTAATAAGAAAGTATTATTTTATTATATATTATAAGTGTCTAAATAAAATAGTCTTAAGACTAAAGGTGCTAAGACTGTCTAAAACTAACGTCAGTAATGTCAAAATCAGTCTAAATTAAAAGCGTTTTTTTTTTCAATATCTCCCGGTTAGGGTTAGTTGCAGTTACTAAAATGTGAAATAAATGTAGTGGTGCCTTGAGAATGCTTAAACTTAAAGTGTAAGACAGTGCTTGCCAATTTTTTGGCTGGTAGGCTAATAGTGGGCAACACACTTTTCGGATATTCATCATTTGCAACCCAGGAAGTCGTTTTTTTACCATGCCATTATGCTAATAAGGCTAATACTAATACCAGCCCTTTTAATATGATATATCTTTTATGACAATCAGACAATGTTTAGATTTAGATTTTAAGTTTAAGTCAATTTTATGGTGTATGTCTTAAAATGAGTTAATTCAACTCCCCCAGTATAAAGATACATACATGAACATAATAGTGTGAGTATAGTAACAATGGCCAATGGTCCACAATTATTGAACTATTAATAGACTATTATCCCATTTGAGCTTCGGCTCAGCTTACAATACAATCTCATGTAATTCAGAAAAGGGTCACCAAAATCCTCTTTTACTGATCCACCCCGAGCAGCATTTTTTTCTAAATATTCACGGCTTGACGGGCACCATTTTCATGCTTCACCCTGGGTGCCGCTTTTCCTCTGCACAGCCCTGATGTCTTGCTACCAACCTCATCAGAGAAAATGAATGTATCAGCTTTTAAATTATGATCCCATTTTTTCATGAATATTTGCACAATCAAGATTGAAATGGTCCTTTTTTATATAATTTACCATTTGAACTAGGTTGTCAATACATTCTTAATTCATTTTAAGTGGGGTTTTTCTTCACCCTGCAGGCAAGACACCACTGTATCACAACACACAATTTGGAAAGCACTGGCTTAAGTACATGTGTAATAGAGCTACTGAGCTTAATAATTTGGTGCAGGTTACTAGATTTTACTAGTTCTGGCTGATTGCTACGATGTGTTACAATCTGTGACTGCTGTAATCTAAGAAAAACAAGATAATGTTATTCTAAAAATGTGTACCAATACCCGGGCTATCCCGGAATGTGAAAATTTACCAGGAAGTCTTTTGTTTACTAAAAATTATTCAGAATCCCAGGTTTCCAGAAGAGAAACCCTAGTTGGCACCCTGGGGAGCAACAGCATTTGCACGCTCTGGGGTGTCTACACAAGGGGGGGAAACAGACCTGTTTGCTCTAACGATTTTGGTGTTCTGGTACAGTAAACAATTTTGAGATGTATTTTACAATTCTATGCCAAGACCTGTCAGAATTACGATTTTAAGAGACCAGGTGAAAAATATATCCATTAAGGTTGTTTTTCTGAGTAAAAGAAAAATATTAAAATTAAAAAGTACATTTTCAGTTGTTAGTTTTCAATGGCATTCTACATGCATCGGTGAATGAATCAAGAAATACAATTGGTTGGGGACCATCTATAATCACATTATGTTTGCCCTGAGTGGGGAATGGGGTGATTTTGATTTAGGAGATTTTATGTAGGAGGTTTGGGTCTAAATATTTATTTCTATTACATTTTGGTAATGATAGTGGTGGTGATCATATTGTTGCTTTGTGTTTTCAGAATGAACTCGCTAGACAGGACAACTGTAATATAAGCGAAGTCGACCTAGTGACAATTTTAGTCATTCCTCATGTTTGTTTGATTCGGTGCTGTATGACGTAATTTTGTGACATACTTATTTTGTTCTGCTGAACTACAGCAAGTCAGAAACTGGGAAAACTAGAGAATTCTTAACTGTTCCACACAGCAACATGGCATTTCAAAATATTTTATAGGATCTGAGAGGGCCTCTCAAATCTACTTTTAGAATTTTGTAAAGAAAAAAAGCTATTTTCATTGTCAGCAACATATCTCATTATTACTTGTCTTGGTTGGATAATGCTGTGGATAGAAGAACTCCAACCTCTCAGGAGTTGACACATTTTCACGACCCATCCATCCAAAAAACTACTGTTAGATTTGAGCTTAAGTTTCATTACAATTACAATTACAGAGGCATTAGTGTTTTTTTTTAACTGAATATAATTTATTTCATCCACAGTTGAAGAAAAGATGATTTTAAAAAAGAAGTGAGAAGAAAATCGATCAATATGTTGAAAGGCAGTCACCTTGTTAAAACTTTAGCCTCTGTTATAATCCCAGCACTACTTTTTGCTCTGTTGACATTCCAGTTCTATAGATGCAGAAGCATATTAGTCCTTAGAAATTCATATTTATTAGAAACCTTACCCAGCAGTACAGAGTGGGTATGGGACGTTTTGAGTGGTAGTCAAAATATGGATTTTTTAAATCAAAATGAGAAGCCTAATCAGTTGTTAATTGCTAGAAAAGTCAAGACAACACCCCAGACAAGTTACCACAAGTCAGTTTTGCTTCCTGGATTACCATCTTTGACTGTTCACTATCTATGGTGTGTTGACAGCCACTTTGAAATTAGCCACTATATTTCTATACTCAGTGTGATCCATCAGCTTAGGCCAGACAAAATTGTAATACACTATCGAGTGAAGCCTAGGAATGACCCACAAGGTTACTGGCGGTGGCTGGAAGACCTCCAGAGAAATGTTATAATGTTGAGTCTACGACCTCTAACAAATCCAAAACACTGCAGCCATGAACTGTCAGCAGGTGTTATCCAAGACAATTATGACTTTACAGATCCTCATGGAGTGTATTTGCTTGGCGATATAGCTCTCACCAATTTAAGCAGATCAGATATAATTGACATTATGACTAAGTCATTTTCCAGTCAAACACCATCTCATTTAAAAACATTACCATCTGTCAGTGAAGAAGAATTAAGTAAAAGTCAAGTGTTTATTGTGGCAGAAAATGATCCTTATCATATAAGTCAAAGCCCAGGTCGTGCTGTTCTATCATGCCCAGCATTGTCTCTTGATGAAACCATGAAACAGGATAACTATATTCAGTGCATCAGCATGAACACTTTCATAGATCTGGATAATCTTTTTAAAAAGGATACTGCTTTTTATCGCTTTGCAAGAACTATTATGTATAGTTCGCCTAGTCCAATACAGGTTGAAATTAGTTCCTCAGTGCAAATTCCAAACATTGTTCACATCATTTTAAACAGTGAGACAATGGATTTGACTCCTTTGTTATACATCGGGATCAAGAGTGCATTCATTAGGGGCAAAGTGGATCAAGTGTTCATTCATGGACCAAAGCAACCAACTGGTGCTTTGTGGGAAAAACTCCATACTCATGATGAATTAAAAGTTCATTATATTTCTGTATCTAAAGAACAACTTGGCTCTAAAAATTCTTTAATGATTTATGCGCTGTATGTCACTCTTCAATATGGAGGAATAATTCATTTTGGTGACATTGTTTTTTTAGATTCTATTCCAATCAAAGCCCGACACACCCCTGCTGTATTCACCCTTCACTACAGTGCATATAAACTACGTCATCGATCAACAAATACTGCAATTTTTGCAGCTGCAAAAGGCTCTGAATATATTGAATATATTTTAGCTGTGTTGAAGCAGGCAGAACAGATGTGGCCTGATGCACGGACTGATGATATTGCCACACATATTGCAGAGTTGCACCCAAAGTCTGTCCTCCTTGATTCAAAATTGACCTCACATCAGAATTGTAAAGACAAGTCCTGTCAAGTTGCCGGTGGTCATGAACATCCAAGACATGCGTATACTACTAGATTAGTATGGGAGGATAATCAACCAAACACACTGGAAATGCTGAAACAAATGCAAGGACCATCCCGAAATGATGTCAGTCAAATAATTGATAGCCCTCCTATTCATCATGGTACAGACATAAAAAAACAAAATTAACCAGATTCTAATTACTTAATCTGATATCATTCAAAAGCATTCCATTTATACCATATTATTAAAGAATTAACCATTTTTAAATTATTATTATTTTTCTATACCAGGTATTGTAGTTTCCCAAATTCATTTGCAAACAAATCTATGGTTTATACTTGAGTTTTATAATAACTCCCTAATTCTAACTAATGTATTATTTAATTTTGATTCATTCATGCTTCAAAATAAATTCAGCTTAAATTGAAATAATTTTCTACTTTAAAAGCAATGTACTGCTCATTTATTATTTGCTCCTCTGAAAGAATAACTACAAAAAGTCAATATTCAGAACTGATGCAATATCACTTTGTCACATATTTATTTTGTTAAAATTCTGTTGAACTATAACGTTAAATTTTTAAAAATCAATTATTTGCAATTTGATATAAATGCTTATTGTATTTTTTGTGATGTGTTAGCATTGGTTTATAATTTATAGGACACATAGCTGATGTTGACATTTTAAGTAAGTGTTATTCTATTTGGTTGGGCTCTACTATTTATAATTAATTTATTTTCCGTGACATTCTTAATTGAATGGGGTTTTTTTTCAGACAATAAAATAATCATAAAGTAACTCTTTTTTTTTTTTTTTGTGTGATAAATTTACAAATAAATAGAGAAACAAATTAATGAAGCTGTAACTGACTTCCTTAAAAGGTTGTGTTGTTGTTTTTTTTTTAATAAGTTTTGGGCCAACTCAAACTGTTTAAATAATAATCCCATAAAAATTTGTATTCATGCACAATAACATCAACATAAATAACCACAAATTTGAGAGAGTGGCCACATTCAAATATGTAGGGGCAACTATAAATGAGCACAATAAGATAATGTCGAAGGTGAAAGAAAGGATAACAGCAGGCAACCATTCCTATTTCAGCCTACAAAAGCTACTGGGAAACAAAAACCTTTCAAGGGGAACAAAGAAGACAATATACAATAGTAACGTACGCTAGTGAGACCTGGACCCTCACCAGAAAAGCAGAGAAAACACAAGGGAGAGGAAAATCCTCCGCAAAATATACGGACCAGTGATAGAAAATGATATCTGGAGAATATGTACAAACCAAGAACTTTACTATTTGTACAAAGAACCACCCATAGTCACAATGATAAAAAAAAAAGGCAGACTACGCTGGGCAGGTCATGTTGAAAGGATGCCAGAATGCAGAGCAGCCAAAGTTATATACAGGCAGAAGCCTAGGGGCAGACGACTCACCGGTCGCCCAAGGATGAGGTGGATTGATGATGTGGAGACAGATTTACACCAGTTGGGGGTTCGAGCATGGAGACGTAAAGCCATGGATCGCTCCGAGTGGAAGGATGTGGTGGAACAGGCCAGGGCCCTACATGGGCTGTAGTGCCACTGGTGATGATGATGATGACATGCACAAACTGCAGCTTGATTAATTTGATGCAATTAAATGTGATCAAGCAAGATTCAACAACTGATAATTGAGCTGATTTAAAAACTTAAAAAATATTAAAATGAAATACAATGGCAAAAAACAAAGAGTTTGTGATCAATAAGTGATATAATTCAATAACTTTACAAGAAATGCTATATACACAATCTTTCTTTCTTTAATCAATCATTTTAATATTTATAAAATATATCTTCTAAAACAATTCAGTGAAATTATAACAAAACAACTAAGACTAAGACACTGCTTTTTTTTCCTTCCAACCCGGCCTTTTTAAAGAAATTAATTTATTCCCTTAAACTTGGTCCTTTTATTTATAATGTTGATAGTGGAAAAAGTAACAATAACTTCTTTGCAATTTCTATACATTTTGTTTGAAACCAGTGCCAAATGTTTGGAACAACCCTTCAATTCACCCTTAAATAATATCATTTGCGACATACTAATTATTAATACTGGTACATAAACAATGTAGACTACTCTATTTCAGACATAACATTATCCAAGGGATGCCATCTTGACTGTTCCAGGGATGCAAAAAAAGACTGGAAATAAAAACAATTTTGGCAAATTTTAATACCCATTACCTTTTAAATTCTTAAATATTTCTGTAAATTATGTAAGAACCAATTTGCCCGTTTATATAAATTTAAAATTTAATATTTTTGTGTTAAGTCAATATAAATTAAACAGTATCTTTTGATGAAATTGGAAATAAAATGTATATATGTCTTTCTAGAATTAAGATGTTCATTTTATGAGTTAAAATTTTACTTTTAAAAAAATGCAGATAGCTGAAACACCTAATACCTGTTATTTTCCTTAGGTAGCAGATAAAAAGTTGTTAAATACCGGTGGTATTGATGAATTAATTTTCACAATAGGTTTCCCTCTATTTAACAAATACAATCTTTATTGTGCATATTATCTAGACTTATAAAAAAAATATGGTTATTCATTTTGCAATTTTTGCATGTATAATTTTACCCAAATTTGGAAATCAAATAACACCATGTGTGTCAATTCATTTGAAGATCAGTACAGCTTACATTTTTTAACTACTGGTACTTTTTTAAAGATAAAATAATAATACTAATACACACCTCACTAGATTCTATGAATTCTCTGTTCTCTTTTCCAACATTAATCTCTAGTCCCGGATCTGTATGGTACAATAAAGAATAAACATATGTTACAAAAAAGGGAAATGACTTAATACTTTCATTTTGATTTGTAATTTATAAGAAAATACATGACATATAAAACTAGGTGAAGCATAAATAATAATATATAGTAATTGCTAAAGTTCCTCTAAAAAGACGACCATCTAAATACAAAAAACTAGAATATATTGCATTAAAAATTATACGGAATTAGACCACTACAGATGACAGAAAAGACTTTGGGAAAGTTTAGGATTGATTGCACCGATATTAATAGAAAATAGTTTTTAAAACTACAATCCTAAATAAAACAAGCTTATTCACCTTCTAAAACCTCCGAGTCATCAACCATTTCAGTAGTGGTTGAGCTGAGACTTCCATCAGAATAGCTTGGTGATACCTGATTTTTTTTTAGGACAGGAAATTAATTGAAGTTAAATTAAATCAACTGTGATTTTTTATTTTGACTTTTTAAGCACTCTATTTTGATACATTTTCATTATAAATAAAATTTGTAAGGACCTCTTAGTATATTTAGTGGAGGGGTGGGCAAACTGCGTCCCTCCACTGGGTTTTGTACTGCCTGCGGAAGCCAGAAGCAATTAGAAGAAAAAAAATCTAATTTTTCTGAAAGTCAACATGTTTGTGCCTGAACAGAGGCTAACTTTTTCAGTTTCACATTGTCATAGAAATCTATGACCCATTTTCTGATGATTGATTACTTTCTTGGCATGTGTATGATATTGGGCAGTTATTGTTGAAAGCCATGTTGCCTCATTCTCATTCCTTTTCATTCTTGTCTGCACAACAACACTATCTCTCCAACCCTATGAACAATGTCTCCTTGAAAATGTAAAACTGAGGAGGAGTGCCATGCATTTAATGATGAATGATAATACAAGTATTTCTTCACCAAGTTCATAGCGGTTTCCTTACTGTACCAGGAGACGATTGCAGTGTTAAAGGAGTACAATTTGAAGCAGAACTATCACACAGGGATTTCGGTCACAACATGGCCAATGAAGGACAGAAGAAAAAGTCTGTGAAAAATGTTGCAATACTGATCAAGCAACAAACTCTATTTAAGAAGCAATCATCAATTTACAATACTGCATTGAAGACAAGTTTTATGGTGGCATACTGAATTTCAAGACCTAAGATACCGGTCTAAGGTGGCGAGTTAATTAAACAATGTATGATGGACTGCGCAAGTGTTTTATGCCCTGAAATCAAAGGTAAATTTTACAACATTTCATTATCAACAAGGATGCCTAGCAATACCGTAATCAGTTTGAACAGCTGAGGGATGCTAGTAAAGATTGCATATGTTATTCTGTTTGCAGACGATTGTGCCCTCAACGCTCCCTCAGAAGTCGTCATGCAACACAGCGTTGATATCTTCTCTGAGGCCTGCAATAACTTTTGCCTCACAATCAACACAAAGAAGACTGGGGTGATGTATCAGCCAGCTCCCAGTAAGCCCTACGTTGAACCCAACATCATCATCAGTGGACAGTGTCTCAAGGCGGTGGATAAATTTACTTACTTGGGCAGCACCCTCTCTAGATCTGTTGTCATGATGAAATGAATGGCAGACTCGCAAAACAGATATTCTTCGGAGAACTCACAATAGGCAAGCGCTCCCAAGGAGGTCAAAAAAATCATTACAAAGACTCACTGCAAGTGGCACTAAAGGCCTTCAGCATAAACCCTACTCAATGGGTGCAGACAGCCCAGGACAGAACCAGGTGGAGAGCTTCTGTCAAGAAGGGGGCTAAATCCCATGAAGCTAATAGGATATCCACAGTTGAGACACGCAGGCTTGCCCGAAAGACCAACATTAAGTCACCGTCTAAAGCAACTATCCCCTGCCCGCGGTGCCAAAGATTATTCCGAGCAGAGATCGGTCTAACAAGCCACCTACAAGCTCACCGTAACCCAACCTCCCCCTAACCTTTGGATGACCCGATGGTCCTAGTCGACTTCGACGGACGAACAACTATAATAGCAGTATTTTGTACCGGTACATGGAGTGAATGAGAATTTCCTATCACAGAAGAAATGCTGTAACTAGAATCTATGAAAAATACAACAACCGGTATTCATGTGTGGTCAATGCAATTAGTGCATTATCATGGGATAGATTGGGGATAGATTGACAAGCATAACAGATTGTACCCGGGCATAACTTGGAGAAAATGTGGGCATGGTTAAACTCCTGGAAGACAAGATTAGAAAAGACAATTCTAACCAAGCGTTCTTGTCTTTCTACTGCATTATGTACTAAGAAAATTGTGTAAATTTGCACTTAACTTGAAGCATGTGGTGGATCCAGTGGTGGGTGTAGTAAACACCATCAAGCCAAGATTTTTTTTTTTATGTATTTGCGCATGCAACTTCTCTAAATTTCTGAAGAGACGTTTTGTTTAACTGCATACTCACCCCATAATCTAATGAATGAGAGGCAGGAGGCTGTGAATAGGGCTGATTATAATGATAGCCATATCCTCCCCATGAATAATGCCCAGCATAATAGGTTCCGTGTGAGCTTGGGGCAGGCATAGATGAAGCTTCACTTGGTCTATTTTTTTTTTAATAAGCAAAGAAAAACCAAGCTATAAAAACCTGTTTTTGACATGAAACTTAAATAAAAATTGGTCTTGACAACTGAGCTTAACATATACAAGTATGTAATTTCAAACACTACCGGTACATTACAATTTTTGGTGAAGTGAAATAATTAAAAACTTAATTGCTAGTACAGGTACTGGTAAAACACCCAAGTTTAATTATTTTTCTGCCTAAACCAAACACTGACAGATTTGTTTGTAAAGAAAACTATAGCATCAATCAAAAGGCTAGGGTACATGTTATCAGACATAAGGAATAAATAACTATATCTTCAGAATCAAGTTTAACTTCATGCACTTTTGCAAAAGTCTAAAAAGTGGCTGTCCCATAAATCATAAATTTACACTATATTTTTAAAAAAGGAAAAAGAACTACAGGTACAGAGTGTTTATATTCCTGCCAATATATATTCAACAGATTATGGAGAAGTGTAGCACCTGCAGTTACGGTCATAGCATAACTTTTTTTTTTTTCTTCTATTTATCAGGCCTAAAAACAAGACCATTTTAAAATGTGTTGCAAATCAAGAGGAAAAGAAAGTGCTTACTTTTTGATAGATGCTAAACTGACTTTAATTGGTCTTCTCCCTAATCCTGTCATATGTTGCATCTCTATCAGGGCTCTCTGTTGGTCACTCTCCTCTGAAAATCTAATGAAGCCAAAGCCTTTGCTTTTCCCATTTTGATCTAATACAACTGAAAATACCATTTTATTATTAACCATTAATTAAAAGGTAATACCCAGTAGGTATCACTTTTTTTTAAATATCAGTTTAAATTTTTTAAATCCTAAAGTAAATTTAAAAAGGCCTTCTTTGATCACTGTTTACATTTTGCTGTAACATTTGTTCCATTTGTAATATTTCACTTGTCTTTTTGTTGCTTATACGGAAGTCTGTCATGTGAAGCTGATTTGAATGCTCACAAACATAAATATAAAATGTTAGTATTGCATTAATGTATTATTCACCTTTGGCTCCTCTCACTGACTTATATCTTTTCTGGAAAAATGAGAACAGGTCATAATCATCAATATTCCAAGATAAGTCACCAACATATAAGGAAAACTCTGGCCTGATTAGTAAAGATAGATTATCAAAAATAAGTGATTAAAGACTCAGCACAAATTTAAACATAATTTTTTTTTGGTAATATTAAATGATTTATAGCATTGTTTAATAAATATTTAACAATAAAGATGTAGTACTGGTATCTAAATAATTGCACTTAAAAAAATATGATTGCATTATGCTTATACTTACAAGAGTTCATGCTCTCTACCAAAACTTGCAGGATTCAGCTTGAAACGTTTCTGGAAACAGCAGAGACAAGCAATTTTTTTGGTTGACCGCTCATAAAAACTTCTTAAATTTTAAAAATAATAGTTATACATGGACTGTAAAATTGAAAGTTTAAAGCTAATACCGGTACTAGTTAATATATGACTGACTACATTCAAGCCATATAAAGTAAACAAATACTGAAAAAAGATATGTTTATGCTTGAAAATAAAAGGCAGGACAATTAAGCTGCAATTCGGCTAGATGCCTTCTTCAGCAGACAATACAATAATCAACAACAGATAATTTAAATCAAAAATAAAACTTATGTTTATGAAGATCTCATAAGTTATATTTTTTTATTTAAGTTAAGGTACTTAAAATTAATGCTTTTGGACTTCAACACTTAACGCTGATGAACATTCTGATAAGCCAAAATTAACTGATGTTGGAGCCTTTGTCGCAATAAATTCTGATTGCAGTGCTTTAAAAAGTTTTAAAAGGCTGTGCTTTAACTTGCGGATTTAAGCATAGGTCTCATCATGGATCATAATAAGAAATAACTAGGTACCACTATGTATGATTTTTAGTACCGGTATTGTATTTACCCCAGGCTTTCCCGGTATATATTTGCCATTAAGTCTGTGCAAAACTCTCTGTGCACAGTCTACATCAGGAAATTCTATAAAACAATAGTTTCCTGGCTTTAGGCTGCAATTCAATTAAAGTAAAAATTATGTCAGCTTATCAATAAAACCAAAAATGTTATGCCTTTTAACATATTTTTTATATAGTACCGGTATAGTATATTTAATATATTTAAAACAATAATCATAATTTTATATACAAAATAAAAACAATTGTTTCGAGAAATTCCTTAAATGTATAGCTTTCTGAAATAGCAATCAAATAGCAAGACAAATCCAGCTTTAAGCCAGAAAATTTAGTACATTCAGAAAATAAATGTTACAGAGACAAAATAAAAATATTCATATGTATAAAAACTGCCTCAAAGGGTAAGTTAACAAATATTATAAAAACTTAACATAGCCTATATTGAACTACTTACGTGCCACTTTCTTTGGTATCATTCATCATCTTTACATTGACAACAACCTCTCCTAATTGAGCGAACGCACTAATTATAGACTGTTCATCAAAATCTTCATCCAGCTGAGTGAAGTTAAGAGTCATAAAAATAAAAAAATTATGCCTAATAAATAATGAGTATAAGACTAGTGTAAGTACTGTTAGTTCTATTAATTTAACAAATTAAAAGTTAAAAATAGGAAATTATTTAAAAATCAAAATTTCTAATAGTTTGTTTGTTTGTTTCAGCTGGTTAATCCACAGAAATGCCTCCACAACCACATTTTGAAATCACTGCCAAAAGGCTGGAAACCTGGGCATTTTTAACTTCATAATACCCAGTGCCATCTTAAGGCATGGGCACACTGGGCAGTTGCCCAAAGCCTCTAGCTTCTAGGGGTCCTCACGCTTCTACAGGCATCAAGGTTCCTAGATCGTTCATGGATATTAAAAGATCTTTAGGGAATTTAATTCCCTTTCAAAGTGCAGTGGAAAGCAGGTTTCCCAAGTTTTTGTGAACATTTTTTTTTTTTATTTTCAAATCATCAATGCCATTTTTTTTTGTTACCAGTAGTACTACTAATAATAGTAGTTTCAGAAAAATGTGTAAATTTTTTTAAAAATCCACACAATGTGGAAAAAATGTGTGTGTTAAAGTAAATCAAAGAGTTTTTTAATAGATGACATGTTCATTTGCAATTAATCAGACAAAAGTTATAGCCTTCTGTGACTTTTGGAGGCCTCCTGCCACTTTTAGGTAATGTGCCCCTTGCACTCAAAGCCAATAGTTTACCTTTTTTTCCATATTATAACTTTAAGTTTAAGCACATTAAATATCTGAGGCCCCCTATAGCTGCAGGACCACTGCAATGGCTCTGGTCATAATAGTTTGAAATTCCAAATAAAACTTTCAATTAACTCAACTTTTTTGGAAATTTGTACTGTTTAAACTTCCCTTAGATAAATCATGTATTAATCACAAATAATAATTCTCTATCTATGTATGGCTGTAATGCTTTGTTCAATAGGCACCCAAAATTAAATTCCTAGAAGTTTGCACTAATTGGGATTCTTATAAAATGCAATATTTAAGTGCATGTTTTGTCAAGTAACTTTAGAGATGGAAAGTTCATGCAATGTCGCCGCTATTGTTTTACAGGTTATTTCTTATAAATATATTCTGCTTTTTGTAAAATATCCTATCTTCTTTAATTAACTATGTCATTTCTAGACAATTCATAAAACATAGCCAGTTATAAATAGCAATTAAAAAATTCAAATACTTTTTTCTACAAAACAATTTTCACTCTCTCTTTTTGTACTGTACCGGTAAATGTAACACTTTGAAAAAATAGTAAATAAATTTTAAATTAAATGCAAAAAGTTAATCATTATACTTATACCAGTACTGGTATTTTGGCTTCTTTTTTGTTCAACATGTATTATGATGTAAGCAATCTTTTTTTTGTGACTAACAACCAATTTGAAGGTTTTTTTTTTTTTATTAATGAAGTACCGGTAGTGAAATAAACAAATAAAAAAACTAGCAACTCTTCTGTTGCTTGCTGATTAAGTGTAATAAGGCAAAACTAAATTCATACACCTGTATGTGACATAATGCACCCTTGCATTTTGATTTTTTTTTTTTATTTTTGTGACCCCCCCCCCCCCCCCCAATCACATTCTGTTCCTTCCCTAATCAAAGCATCACTAACTCCCGGCACTTTTTTATCTACAAATGCACTAGATATTATTGTTGGTACCGTAATTAAAATGATTTTACTTAAACTTTAAAAAAATATATTTTCCATTTTGTTTGGTACTGAATATAGTTGGAATATTTAGATTCCAGGGGTGGAACTAAGCTGGGGCCGTAAGCATACCCTCTGGGGGTGCCACAACCGGAATGAATTTATATTTATCTATTGGTGGGATGAAGGAGTCAGTGCTGGCCCTGAGCAAAATTACGCCCAATTTTGGTGATAATAGATACCCTCACCCTTCCCAAATGCCTGAAAGGCCAACCCCCCCCCCCCCCTCCCAATGAAAAAGTCCGAAAAAATGTGCTAAATAAAACATACATAAGTTAGGCCTTAGTTAGGCTTGGGCTTGCCTTAATTATGCTTAGGGCAACCTGGACGCCTGGCCTCATAATTCATTGCTTTGCCCAGGATCACCAATGTTGTTCAGTTGGTCTTGATTATACCAGGCCAGGCTGTTCATGAGCGCACAATTTATGATTGTGCCGTCTTTGGGTAAACTATATATTTATTATTAACTTATGGTAAATTTGGAGAGATAGCACTGTGGCCACCATCTTGGTTGCTGGGGCCCGCGGACTTATGTCCGAAATGTATCCCTAAACCTAACCACTAACCTGAACCCTAAACTTATCCCTAACCTGGGTTTTGACCATATCGGAAGCAGGTTTTTGACCCTATCACTATGGGAACCAGGGACAAAACATGCAAATGACATCAGACGGTCAGGGTGCTATCTCTCCAAATTAGCCCAATATTATTAAAATTAAATACTAAATCAGCCTACTATTAACTACTAAACAAATAGGACTCTAAACTAATACTATTAATATATATATTACTTAGTCAATACTAATAAAGTAATACAAGTCTATACTCCTAGTTCCTAGGCCTAGTTCTTCTACTTGAATAACTCAACTGTCAACTCAAGTCAACTGGAATACTTAATTCCGGTGCCGGTACAATCCGGTACAAAAATGTCAATTCAATAAATGACGTTAACTTTTAAATTTTTAAATAAATCACTATTGTTATAGGAAGGTAAAGAAAACATATTTCAAGTTTAGCTTACATCTCCCATCCACAAAGACGTGCTTAATGCTGTATGAAACATTTATTTTATATTTCATGTATTGTGTGTATACTTAACTGAGTTAACTATACTATTTGTTGACAAAAGTGACAGTTTTTAAGTTTATGATGGAAGGGAGACAATAACAAAAAACAAAATCGGCGGTAACTATTTAAGAGAACAATTCTTTTGAATGAACCGAATATCCTTATTAAATAAGTTATTTATAATCTTTAAATAATATGACAAATTCTCTTATGCCCATATTTTATTATTTTTTTTATTAAATTCAACAGATAGGGAATTTTGCTACCTAAAGGTCTATACATGTGGATGAAATATACATTTTCATTTGCTCTGTCTGTTGTAGTAGTTTTTATATTCATTTAAGAATATTAAGATCCTCAATTTTAATAAGTTGTTTTTCTGAGTGACTGAGACGCATTTATTCTAATAATTGTCAACGAGAATCGTAGTTGGATTATAATTAGGGTAAAGTGATATTAAACATCAAACATATTTTCTTGCGTTTTCAGAATCAAAGTTGTTGAATATTTTGTTAATTTTAACTTACGAAGAATGTTAGCTGACTGGACTACACTTACACTGAACTTACACTACTCACTACACTCTCTACACAGTTACACAGTACACAGTTAACACAGTGTCTACACTAAAACTAAATCAGTAAATGTAAATGATACTAAATTGCCACTTAATTGTGACTTAATACTTAGACTTAACTGTAACTTGACTTAACAGTTAATTGAGTTAAACTAAGTAACACTATTTACTATTTAAACTTTTTGTTTAGTTTAGACTCTATATTTTAAAAATTGTTTAAAATTTTAACTATTTTTAAAATTTAGAGTCTAAACTAAACATTATTAAAACGAAGTGGATGCGTACACCGCGGCGGTGTACCTAGCGAAACCATTGACTTTGGCCTGGGTAAACCGCGGCGGTGTATCTAGCGAAATCGTGGGCTTTGGCCTGGGTACACCGCGGCAAAAATTTACCATTGGCCTGGTTTTAAGAAACGCCTGTAAGTCTGTAAGATAAGATCTTGAGTGGTCAAGTGGTAGAGTGGACGCTTGGCGATCGTCTATTGTAAGCTCAATTCCCAGTAGGGTATCGAGGTTTTTTTCTTCCCATTTTAATTTTTTTTTTTAAATTATTTAAATTATCATGTTCATTTGCAACAGTAGTTTCCTGAGAAGTTTTTAAATATTTTATAGCAATTTAAACAATTAAAATTAAATATATGTTGTATTCAGATTATTAACTGATTATTAAGTGTTTTAACAAGTTGTGCCGGCCTTTGACTTTAAAAAAAATACCGGTAATATGAGTATGACATTAGAAAACAAACTGAAAGTTTCTGAAAGCGCATGTATAGTGTATGTAACATGTACCGGTATACACTTTATCAATGATATCATACGAATATAAATGTGCATGGTCGTGTTTCCAGAATGGCATGGGATATGCTATTCTCAGGTAAAACACGACGTTTTCTCACAGAAACCATTGCACAATGCGCTTGGGACAGGATTTGCGCTATTTCAAAGTTTTTTTTATCTGTTGTTTTTTGCTAAGAAATCGATCCTTACCGGGGGTGGGGGTGATTTATGGGCAGAGGTTCAACGAAAATGGGGGGGGGGGAGGGCTACACAAATCATGGCTCTGGATAGGGATTAGGGGTTGTCCACAAAGGACATCCGCACAAAAAACTTATTTTTTGCACCCCCCCCCCCCCCCCA